GTGCCAACACCAAACACCTTAACTTCACTGGCATTGCCCATCTTTAACACTCCAGAATCAACAGCAGTATAAGATGAGAAAAAATCTTTTCTTGGTGTGACATGTGAGGTAGCTCCAGAATCTACTATCCAGCTAGTCTCATGGGATACCAAATTGATGACGTTTTCATCATAAGCAAAAAGAAGGTCATCTCGAACAATAGCAGCAACATTGTTCTCCTTATTTTCAACTTTCTTTCCTTCTCTAGTGTCTTGATTCAACTTGCGGCAAAACCTTTTGATGTGTCCTTTCTTGCCACAGTGGTTGCATGTAATATTATAGTATTTGGACCTTGACTTACTTCTACTTTTACCTCTATTCCTTGAGCCTCTTGTTCTATCTCTCCCCCGGTCTTCTGTAACCAAGACATCTGCTTGTGAGGACGAACCTTGAGATTTTCTCCTTACTTCCTCGTTCAACACACCACTCTTGGCATATTCCATGGTCATCTTACCTCCAGGAGCTGAATTTGTCAAAGAAACACGAAGAGTTTCCCAAGAGTCTGGCAGAGTATTAAGAAGCCAAAGTCCTTGTATCTCATCATCAAAATTAACTCCCATTCCAGATAGCTGATCAAGGATGCCCTGAAAATCATTTATGTGATCAAGGATAGGGCTGCCTTCCTTGTATTTAAAGGTCATCAATTGCTTTAGCAGAAACAATTTGTTGTTCCCGGTTTTTGAAGCATAAAGAGTCTCTAGCTTTTCCCACAATGATCTCGCATGTATCTCGTTCACAATATGGTTGCGAACATTATCTTCAACCCATTGCCGTATATATCCACATACTTGTTGGTCCTCGAAATCCCAATCTTCTTTACTCTCGGGTTTATGAGCTGAAAAAATGGGTAGATGCATCTTCTTCACGAACAACAAGTCTTTCATCTTGCTTCTCCAAACATTATAATTTCTCCTATTTAAACATACCATCTTGCTCATATTCGCCTCCATTCCGTAACAACCCGGATAAATAACCAAGGCTCTGATACCACTGTTATGTTGAGGAAGAGGCAAACCCGAAAATAAAGAAGATAAAGAACACCAAATTTTAACGTGGAAAACCCTTCAAATCGAAGGTAAAAACCACGGGATCACAAAGATCCAAAAAGCTACACTATAACAATAAGAGGGTTACAAAAGTTCTCCAAATTGTCTACACAACAAGGGCCAAACACAGAGCAACAATAGCAACAAGAGCAACAACTAATCAATTGAAGAAAGAATATAATTCACGAAAACAAAGCTGCTGTTCGAGGCTCGAAATCAGATGCTACGAGCCTCCAAATCCGATCTCCACTGTTCGAATCCAAGACCAAGATGTTACGAACACTCAGTCAAAATTTCAGCCCGATCCAACGGTTAACGAATCGGAAAACATGATCTGAAGTTGGCTGGTCGGAATAAAAATCTGCAGCAAAACAAATACTTTTCTTCTCTCTTCTCTCTTGATGAAAGCTCTCTCTAAACCACTCTTATGTGCTTAAGTCTTTCAAAGACTTGTATCAATGAGCATAGAATAATTCTCCAAGGTTGTCCTATTTATAGATCATGAGTGGTGCTTTCTCTTAAAGCCAAAACCCACTCAAAATAGGAATAAACCGAATCCAATTCCAAATAGGAATGAAAACCAAAAGAGAATAGGATTAGGCCATTGGGCCTTTGGCTGGACAATATGGGCATGAGCCCAACACCATCTTCGTGGATTTCGAATAAAATAAGGTTTCTGTTGCTTTTGAGGAACACGAATAAACGATTAACAAATAACATTAATATGTAAATATATGAAATTGTTTGAATAGTGAATCAAATATTTATTAAATCACATTGGATGCTTTTGTTTAACTAATTAACAATTAATTAGAACACGGCAAGAAAAATGGCCCCTTAAGCTGACAGATTATCTAATTTTTATCCCCTAGATATTAAAGCTTTTGCTTATTAACTAGTATTAGTACCCGCGCGGATGTGCGGACACTAATCATGTCAAATATTTAAGTTATTTGGATTGTATGTAAATATCTTAAAATTTACACTTTCTCAGTAAATATAGATAATCATTGGATATTAACTACATGAAAAAATTAACCATTTCTTCTATTTTTCTTTTTTGATACCATTCTTGCCGGTGTCATTAGATCCTAAAAATAGTCAGGAAGCAAAATAACAACTCATATTTATGGCAAAACAATCAAATGTTGAGACAATGAATGACTCTTTGGATAAGACTTAACTCTTTTACTACTACTTGAACTCTTATTTGGTCTGTTGATATCTCTTAAAAAATATTTCTTTCTTAAAATTTTAGTTTCTAAAATATTATTTTTCAATAATAATTAATTTTATAATAATGTAATTGAAATATTATTCTTAATTCAAAACTTATTTTAGTTGGCTATCTAAATATATAAAAAATTCTTTAGCTAGTGAATTTTTTTACTCCATTTTGATATTTGACATTAACAAGTTAAATATCTGAGTTATTTGAATTATATGTAAATAACCCTAACATTTAAACCTTCTAAATAATTATAGATAATCGTCTGATATTTATTAAGAAACACTACATGAAAAAAGACTAACATTTTCTCAATTCTAGTAGTGATAATTTTATTTTTGCACTATTCTCATAGGTGTCACTGGAACCTAAAAATAGCCACAAAAGAAATAATAACTCATATTTATGGCAAAGCACAAAGGTTGACACGATATAAACGATTCTTTGATTACGACGTGACTCTTATACTACGACTTGAACTCTTATTTGGTATGATTTTATCTTT